GGGGGTCCAGTTTGGACACTCAGATTGGGGGTGGGGTGGGGTGGGGGAGAGAGAGTCCACTCCTACACACAAGCACCCCCTTTTTCCCCCCCGTTGGCAAAAGAGGAAACTTACTTTTTTTTCGGAGGAAGAACCAGCAAAGGGGTGGCTAGGATTTGGCTGGAGGAATCTGAAAGTCAACCAGAGAAGAAGGCCGTGAGGGCCACTGGAGAGGTTCAAAGCTTGCGAGAGGGTGACCGGAGGGGCGTTCCTCTGAGCGCCCCTGGGCTTGGAGATCCGACGACTGGAGATGGGAACTGTAGTCCGAAATCATGTCCGGGGAGGGATGGGAGGGGGGGAAATCATTGCTTCAGCTCTGATTAAGAAGCTGCAAGCGAGGAAACCTTTCGCAAAGGCCGGCACTCTTTTAAGAAGTCTGCAATGCGGGAAGAGGTGGAAAGAAAAAAGAAGCAAAGGACGACCAGGTGGACGGACGCCATGACGGTGGGGACACGGCTGGAGGGCTTGAAGGGCCAGGGGGGAGGGGAGGATCATCCAGCCCCACATCCTCCCAATGTTGCATTCATCATTCATCATCATTCAACAGCCCCGTAATCCCTTGTGGGGCGGAGTGCGGGCAACGGAGTGGAGCCGAGTGTTGACTGGCCAGATGCCCTTCCTGTCCCCAGAGCGGCGTTTTGTTCAGCAGATCATATTCTCATTGCGCCCAGAGAGAGAGAGAGAGAGAAATATCTGCCTCTACCTAGGATCGAACTCACAGCCTCCTGACTGGGAGGCGAAGAGCTCCACCTCTAGGCCACCGCACCACTCTCTCCTGATGCTGCACTGTCACCCAGAAGGTTAAAACTCAAGATTGGGATGGGGAAAATGGCACGCAATTCCCCCCCACCCACCCCGAAAAAAAACCAGCAGTAGATAAAAGGGACAACCTGATTCTGTAAATCAGTGATCTGGATTTATCTGCTCCGGGAGAAAAATACAGATCAGTTAAGCAGGGATGGTGTTACCTAGTTGGGTCGTGAAATGCCTGCAAGGAAACCACCCAGCTCAGAGAGCACCAGAGGACACCCCCCCCCCCCCGAAAGAAACCCTGTCCTGGGTTCAAGGTGATTCTGCCTGAAGCTTGGCATCACCTTTGTAGGCAATGATGCCATCGCAGATCTCCTTGAAGATCTGGGCGAGGCGCGCTGCGCGGGCCACTTCGAGGTTTTCTTCGGCGGCCGCCAACCGTCGTGTCCTCACCGAGCGTGCGGTCTGCAGGGCGGAGAACTGGGTCATGAAGACATCTGGAAAAAGAAGGGGAGGGAGATGAGGGAGGGGGCCTCCGCAGGCTTCTGACAGCGCTATGGTGGTCCAGGGTTTGACAAGACGCTAAGCCATTGTTTGCTTGAGTTGCATCACTTTAGGATATTAAGTTGATGACTAAGATCGTCACCACTGTGATGTTAAAGAGGGCGAGGGGTGACAATGTTTGGAAGGGGGTTGGACTAGAAGACCTCCAAGGTTTGTTTATTTGTTTCTATCTATCTATCTATCTATCTATCTATCTATCTATCTATCTATCTATCTATCTATCTATCATGTCTGTCTGTCTGTCTGTCTGTCTGTCTGTCTGTCTATCTATCTAT